GACCTCGAGGAGCTGGAGAAGTTTGCCAAGACCTTCAAGCAGAGGCGCATTAAGCTGGGCTTCACACAGGTTTGGTTTGGGGAGAGACAGAAGAAATTGAGTTGAGTGAGTAGGGAATGGGCTTCCCAAGGGCAGGTTTCAAGAGCGACCTGAGGCTCAGGGATTTGGGGCCTAGATTATCAAGTCCCTGAGTTCCTTGAGGATAGGGCACAGTTGCCATTGATAGGAAGACTGAGGACATTGCTGGTGGAGGTGAGAAGACTAAGAGTCAAGCAGGGGGCTGGCTCTCCTGAGCTCCTAGACACGGTCTACTTGGAGTCTAGAGAGAAATAAATCAATTTTTCATCTTAGAGGGAGAAGACTTGGAAAAAAGCTGAGGGCCTGGGTGAGTGCTAGGAGGTTCTGGTTGGGTATGGGATAGGTGCTAGCATGGTGGGGGAGTGGGCATAGAAGAGGAGGAGGCTGTCTCTCATGTCCCCCCTTCTCGGTCCCCACGCACAGGGAGACGTAGGGCTGGCAATGGGGAAGCTGTATGGCAATGACTTCAGCCAGACTACCATCTCGCGATTTGAGGCCCTCAATCTGAGCTTCAAGAACATGTGCAAGCTCAAGCCGCTGCTGGAGAAGTGGCTGAATGATGCAGGTAGGCCTGGGGGAAATGAGGATGGGAGGAGCCCCAGAGGACTCCGGAGGGGACAGGCTAGTGACCTGATGGTGTTGGGGCTAATGCATAACACCCGTTTCTTCTCCTCCTGAGTCTGGAACCAAGTGAGAAATAAGACACAGGGGACAGGGAATGATGAATAGATGAGTTTGGTGTTAGGATGGGGTTTCGACCTCAACATTATGGATATTTGGGGGCCATGTAATGTTTTGTCGTGGGAGTCTGGCTTTGGGATTGTAGGGTGTTTGGCAGTATTGCTGGTCTCTATCCACTAACTGCCAGTAGCACCTGTCCCCAGTTGAAACACCCCAAAATGTCCCCAAGGGAGTGGTGGTGGAATATAATCACTCCTGGTCAAGAAATACCAGCCAAGGTGAAGAGGGTGGGAGTGAACCTGTCCCCAGGGCTGGGCTCTATCCAGTGGATACCTGAGGGTTAGTGGCTACCGTGGAGGGAAGAGGGGCAGATTGAGCAGCCAGTGGTGTGATCCTGGCAGAAGTCCCTCCGTGCAGAAACAGGGGGCAGGCAAAGACACTCCCCTAACAGTCCCTCTGTGCAGAAGCAGGGGGCGGGCAATGACGCTCCCCTAACAGGTTATCCCTTAGATGACTTTTATCAAAGCACCAAAGTGACAGAAGTGATCAGAGGGTTGAGACTCTTTAGGAAAGAGCCTCCTAGATCATTTATTGTATGATCCCCATCTGATACTCAAATCTGAATCCTTCCTAAGGGATATCCCTCCTGTGGGTCATACAGACGTAGCCAACATTTGCACCAACAAGAAAATGGCTCCAGCACCAACATTCTGCCACCAAGTGGCACAGAAGCCCCTTTCTCATGTTACTCAGCATTCACATCCAGGCATATCTGTAAAAAACAGACTCAGAAGGGTTACTCGGAGGAGCCCTGCCAGGACCCACTCACACCCACGCATGCCGCTGATGTCTGGGCACCCCTGAACCATGACTGCAAACACTGGGCGGGCTGCTGTGCGGGTCAGGCAGGACCTTTGCCCAGAGCACTGAGAAGCAGGATGTTCAGTCTGTTCTGGGCCCCGGGGGTGGGGCTGCTCCTGAAAATGCCACCCCAGAGCCCACTAGGAGGGGTTGTTGGACCTCAAGTCCACTAAGCAGGCCCTGGACTGGCCTCTTGCCCCCTTCTCTGAGCCTCCTTTGTTCCTCGCTTCCCTACAGAGTCTTCTCCATCAGACCCCTCGGGGAGCACGCCCAGCTCTTATCCCACCCTCAGTGAAGTATTTGGTAGGAAGAGGAAGAAACGGACCAGCATTGAGACCAACATCCGCCTGACCCTGGAGAAGAGGTTTCAAGATGTGAGCAGCTCCTTTGGGTGGAAGTGGGTGGGCCGCTTCACACAGGTGGGCCAGGCTGCAGGCACAGGCGCCCCACCCCCACCCCAGCCATCAACCCCTCCACCTTCCTCCCACCCTGGGAAATGGTTGGAAAGTACATTGTCCCTTGCCAGGCACCCAGGTATCTGAGGGAAAGGCTGCCCTTCCTCTTGGTTCCAGGAACTTCTTCCCCCACTGACCCTTCTTGCCCTGACATCTATTTAGGGACCATTGTTTTCCTCACTGGGAGATTTAAAGAATGGGATCTGGGGTCCCAGAAGACTGTGCAGGGAGCAAAGCCAAGGCATTGTATATAAATTGTCTATTTTCTGGACCAGGCGCGGTGACTCACGCCTGTAATCCTAGCACTCTGGAAGGACGAGGTACATTGATTACTTGAGCTCAGGAGTTTGAGACCAGCCTGAGCAAGAGTGAGACTCCATCTCTACTAAAAATAGAAAAATTAGCAAGGTGTCATGGTGGGCACCTGTAGTCCCAGCTACCTGGGAGACTGAAACAGGAGGATCACTTAAACCCAGGAGTCTGACCTTGCTGTGATCTAGGCTGATGCCACCACACACTAGCCTGGGCAATAGAGTGAGACTCTGTCTCAAGAGCAACAACAAAAGTCTATTTTTTTATGTGATACATTTTGTATTTTTCTAATTATAAATGTAATGTGATAAATCCCCATTGTAAACAATGTGGAAAGTATGAGGAAGTAGAAAAAAATCTACCACCAAATGCCATCTGAATGCATTTCCTTCTCTTCCTTTTTTCCATGCACAAATACTTGTAATCATATTGTGCACACACAGTTTTTTTAACTTGTAGCAAAAGCTTATTCTTGAGCCAGTATGTGGAAGCTATGAGTCCCGTGGGAGCCAAGGGAGAAAAGAGGGAGCAATAGGTGTGCTCTAAACAGCTTCTAGGCAGGGCCCTTAGTTCCCATCTGCAGAGCCTCCATTGGTACCACGTGCCTCTGAAGGCCTCAGCAGATCCCCCAATGCATCTGGCTTGAGGACTTGGTAGCCACATCCTGCTGGCAGGAAGACAGGAATTCGTTTTTCTTTCTTTTTAGGCTTCTCGGAGCGGGGAGGTTAAGGGAGGGTGTAGGAGTAGGAGAAAGGGGCCAGAGTCAAAGGCCACTGGGAGGCCCCAGAACAAGGGAGTGACCACCTTATATCTGCCCCAGGTCCTGGTGGGTCTCCATGTTTCGGCTTTCTCATTTCCCATTTTGAGGTAGGAGAGCAAGAAGAAATGACAAGGGAGAGGGATGTCAGGGCATGAAGAAGGAACATGGAGGAGAACACGAGTTCTGGAGATTCTGCCCACCCCACATAACTCATCCACAGGCTCCTCTCCTCACACGTGCTCCCGGAGGAAGAAGTGGGGGAAGAGCTGGTACCTTTATGGAGCCTATACTCTGTAGCAGGCCTTGTACTTGGTAGTATACATACATTTTTTCATTTAATCCTTACAATAATCCTATATGGTAGGCATTATTATTCTCACTCTATAGGTGATAAGACTGCGGCTCAGAGAGGTTAAGAATGTTTCCTGAGGACACACAGCAAATACCTGATAAGGCCAATATCCCATCCTAGATGTGACTATAAAGCTTTTGATCCCTATGTTTTATCCTGCTTCTTTGGAACACTGTCCCCCATGCCCAGTTCCCTTCTCTTGACCATACTCTGTCCCTTTGGTCCCTGTAGAACCCCAAACCCAGCTCAGAGGAAATCTCCATGATTGCAGAGCAGTTGTCCATGGAGAAGGAGGTGGTGAGGGTCTGGTTCTGCAACCGACGCCAGAAGGAGAAGCGAATCAACTGCTCAGTGGCCCCACCCATCAAATCACCTGTCTATAATTCCCGGTTGGTGAGTGATCAGGAACCAAGCCATCTGCTGAACACTGGGGGACCAGATGCCTGGAGGGCAAAGAGTCTTCCCAGGGTGGTGGCTGGGGGATAGAGAGAGGCAAAGCATGCAGTAAATAAATAACCAGATAAATGCAAACAAAATATATATGCTGTAATGACTAGAGAAGGGTGAAGGGATAGAAAGTGACAGTGGGGAGATGCTCTTTTAAAAGGGAGGTCAGAGAGGACCTGCTTGATAAGGTGGCATTTGAACAGAGACCTGGAGCTGTAAAGGGAAGAAATATATGACTGTCTGGGGGAAGAGTCTCTAGATGGAGGGACCAGCAAGTGAAAAGACACAGCATGTTTGAGGAACAGCAAGGAAGCCAGTATAGCTGGGCAGAGCGAGAAGGGGCAAGAACCAGGAGAGGACGTCAGGGGAATAATAATGAATAACCACCCAAGGTCTCAGCAGCCCCTGAAAGGACCCAGGCTTTTAGTTTAAGTAAAATGAGAAGCCACTGGATAGCTATAGATGGAGAAGCCTGAGCTGGTGACAGGGCCGCTGTGTGGAGTATAATCTGTGTGACGCAGGAGACCAGCCAGGAGGGCTGCAGTAATCAGGCAGGGTGGGAGCCATGGTGACGAGGAGGAGGAGTTGCATTCTGGATGTACTTTGCACAGCTACGAGCTGCACTCCGGGACTATGAGAAATGTGGGTTTTGGTCTGAGCAACAGGTTGGAAGGCACTGCCATGTTTTGAAAGGAAGAGAACTGCAGGTTTGAGGGAAAAAGCTAAGAATTTGAGGTTGCTCATGGTAAGTTGAGCATGCCTTTTAGGCATCCGAGAGGAAGTATCGAGGAGTTCTGTGACTGGTGTTCAAGGAAGAAGCCAGGGCTTGGAGTAATTTGGACTCTCAGACAGACATGGAAATTTGGGGAGCAGGATGCATCTTGACATGCAGGCTGAGATGGTACCTGGAGGATATGGGTGGAAGGTTCTCCTCCTCTGGGGATGATGATGGTTGAAGGTTAAGTTGGAGGTAATGAAGTTGTTCTTGAGTCTTTCACCACAAGGCTGAATGGGTGAAATTCAGTGTTGCCAAAGTGAGACATCACTATCTCATAAAAGCTGTATCACTGTTGGCTGGGCACCCATAGCTGAACGGTTAGGGTGCCAGCCACATGCACCGGGGCTGGTGGGTTTGAACCCGGCCTGAGCCTGCTAAAACAACAACAACAAAGATAGCCGGGCATTGTGGTGGATGGTACACAATGCAACTGCTTTACTGTGGTGAAGCAGTCCCAGCTGCTAGGGAGGCTGAGGCAAGAGAATCACTTAAGCCCAAGACCTTGAGGTTGCTGTGAGCTGTGGTTCCATGGCACGACTCTGTCTCAATTAAAAACAAAAAAACCTATATCACTGTTGATTCTTTCAGTATCTAATGACCATCTACTATATGTTGGTTTTTGCGCTGACCGTTGGGGAATACAAAGATAAATACTATTTGTTCCCTGTCCCCGAGGACCTCACTGCCTAGCAGAGGAACAGATGAATGAATGACAAACACCATGATCGTTCATCTCTCTGCAATGTTTTTCAACCTTTTTTTAATCTCACAGCACACTTGAACCTGTAGTTAAACTTTCCCAGCACACTTAAATTATGCTGATAAAAAAAAAAAAAGAGTAAGAGAAAGAATGTACTTACCTGTGCTTTGAACTTCTTCTGAAAATAATTAATGATCTTTAAAAAATTTCACGGCACACCTAAGATCCTTTCACCCTACACCAATTGAAAATCAGTGCTCTGGGAGAACTTAGGCATAGCAGGTAACAAAGGGCAGGTGGGAGGCGATACTTAGGGCAGCCTTCCCCAAGGTGATAATTTAATGGCGGTACTGAGTTAAAAAGGAGTGAGAGACAGATAGGTACTGAGTCAAAAGGACGGAGCAAGCTGGCGGTGCCTGTGGCTCAAGGAGTAGGGCGCTGGCCCCATTTACCGGAGGGGGCAGTTTCAAACCCACCCCGGCCAAAAAAAAAAAAGGAAGAAGAAAAAGGAGTAAGAGGCAGACAGGAGCCCTCGCCAGGAAAAGGCATGGAAACAGTGGTGTGCAGCAGAGAATGTGCCTCACATTCCTGAGACTTGCATGTGTTTCTGCGTGCGGAATGTGGAAAGGTGAGGCTGGACAGACCAGCAGGGGTTCAGCTAGGAGGGGATTGTATATAACGCTGAGGAACCCAAGGTTTGCACGAATCTCTAAAGGATTTCAAGGCGGGCATTGGCGTGGCCCGATTGGCTTTTTCAGTTGATCACTCTGACTGCAGGATAAAGGGTGGACCGACAGAGAGAGTTTGGCTGCAGGGAGACCGGTTAGGACGTGACTGCAGTTACCCAGTAGTAAAATAATGAGGGTGAAGCGAACCCACATGGTAAGAATGAGAGGGTTGGGAGAGATTCCAGGGATAATTAAAAGGTCTTGGTTAATAAATTGAAAGTTGGGCGGGGGCAGATGAGCTATAATGAAAAGATAATCCTCTGAGATGACTCCCAGCATTCAGACTGGGCCGGCAGGGGAGATGGTAGTGTTGTTTATGGAACAAGCAGATGGAGAGGAGCTGATGTGGAAGTGGGGAGAAGTCATGATTGCAGGTTTTTATATCATTATGATGTACAGTGAGGCCTGCAGGACACTCAAGTGGGAATGTCCCTGAGTACCTGAATTATGGCTCTGGAGGTCAGGAGGGAAGGCTGAGACAGAGCCATAGATGAGGAGTTATGAGCATACAGCTGGAGGCTGAAAGCCTGGGTGAGGAGGGACTCAGCTGTGGAGGAGGCAAAGAGGAAGGTCTGCGTCTAAACCCTGAAGAATACCAGCATTTGAGAGATGGGCACAGGAAGAGGATCGGGGAGGAGGCTGCAACTCAACAGGTTTGAGGGTGTTGGACAGGGATGAGCCGTACAGGAGAGCTCAGGGAACCCAGAGGAAAGACACTGAGATCAGAGCGGGGTCTGGGTGGGCAGAGGCTTCCTTTGCTTGGAGAACAGATTAAGAATCAGAATCTTTCTAAGAGTAGAATGTGAACGTTTTAAAGCAATAACTGAGAAAATGACATGAAGGCTGTGTTGACCAGTTGATGGAAGTATTTCAGATT